AAAAAAAAAGATAAGGATTCCTTCACACAGTCACTGGAGCTCTACAGGGCAATTTCTGACTGCCAGACACAGCGCCAAGCACTAGAACACACTGGCGAACAGGGACAACGTCTACCCTCAAGGGCTGAGAGAGGCGGCCGAGGGACCTTCCAGCCAACGCCAGGGGAAGACGGCGGCAGCAGCTCCATCTGAACCCAGATGCAGTGCTCGGCGGAGGCTTCCCCGGGACTGTGGTGTCTCCTCCGACTTTGCCAAGAAGCAGAAGTCGGCTGGGAAGAGCGAGGAGGATGGAGAACGTGTGCCAGGCAGTGGGAGCTGCTTATCGAAGTCCAGATTCCAACGCAACAAGCACCAGTTACTGGGATTGGCTAAACCATCCTTGTTCTTTTTATACAAGACACAGTGAATTTGAAAAATCCTTAAATGGGGGCTGGCATTGTGGTCTAGAAAGTTAAGCCTCCGCCTGTGGTGCTGGTATCCTTTATGGGCACTGGTTCGAGTCCCAGCTGCTCCTCTTCTGATCCAGCTCTCTGCTATGGCCTGGGAAAGCAATAGAAGATGGCCCAACTCTTTGGGCCCCTGCATCTGCATGGTAGACCTGGAAGAAGCTCCTGGCTCCTGGCTTCCAGTCGGCCCAGCTCTGACCGTTGTGGTCATTTGAGGAGTGAACCAGCGGATGGAAGACCTCCCTCTTCCTGTCTGTAACTGTGCCTCTCAAATAAATAAATAAATCTTAAAAAAGAAAAATCATTAAATGGCAAGTCCCTAAAAAAATTGAGAGTTGGCAGGCTTGGGGCTCCCCCAACGACATTTTTGGCCTGGGTTTGGTGATGAAGCTGGGCTCCTGAGTTCCACAGCCTCCCTGCCTACAGATGTGACCCCCTCCTGGGTGTTCCTGGTCTCCACTCTTCTCCCCGTATTTTCAGTCTCTCTCTTTTGACTGCTTCCTCCCTAGCAACTCTCATCTTGCTAAGCCTCTCCCTGGCTTCTGTCTTTGTCTTACCCTCTGCCCTCATGGATCTTAGACACAGCTCCAGCAAAGGTCTCTGGGGACTTTTTTTTTTTTTTTTTTTATAAGAAATGTATTTCTTTGAAAGACAGAGTGACACAAGAGAAGGGAAAGACAGAGAGAGATCTGCTACCTGCTGGTTCACTCTCCAAATGGCCCTCCCAGGCACTTTAGCAGGATGCTGGATGGGGAGCGGAGCTGCTGGGGCTCTGACGGGGGATGCCAGCCACGCAGGCAGGAGCCTAAGGGTGGCCTGTGCTCATCAGTGGCTTCTCAGACACAGCACCAAGGGCCGGTGGGGCCCGCCTCCTGGACCCGGCAGCCGCACTGAGCAGGATCACAGCCTCCCGGGAGCCCCACCCCACTCCCCAGCCCCCCTCCCCGACTTCCCCGCACTCTGCCACCTCCTCAGTGCACCTGCTGCCTCTCAGAAGAGATCCCAGGGCTGCTTTCCAAGACCTCCTGCACCCTCTTCCCAGGGCTCTGTCCTCGGACAGCCTCGCTCCTCTCTCCAGAAACCCTCGGGCTTTCTCATACTTCTTGTTAGCCAAATCCTATTGGTGCCCTAGAGAATCGCCGCTGTGTGCCAGAAGCCGACTGTGCCCCACCCAGGCGACACTGCTAGGGCTTTCCACGAACACTTCAAGCTCATTTTCCTCCCTTATTCCCGCTGCTCTTGCCGTCTGTCCTTAGCCCGGGGAAAGGCCAGCCCCTGCCAACCCGCCACGCGGGCCGGGCCGGACCATTTCGCCACGGGAGGCATCGCGCGCTCTTCCCCTGCAGCACCGCCGGCTCGGCCACTCGGCCTGCGCTCCCTGGCCTACTTCCGGCCCTGGCCTCTCGGCCAGTCTCCCTGCCTCCAGCCCCGCAGCACCCACAGCTCGAGCGGTCTCTGGAGTGCCCGGCGGGCCGGCGCCTGACCAGGGCACGCAGGGAGCTCCCACCCGCCTGCCCCACCCCGGGCCCGGTGCTGCGGAGACCCCGCGCTCTGGGCCCAGGCAGGAGTTCGTCTTCACCAAGTTCACAGGGGCTGGGGCCCAGTTTACTCGCTGAGAAATCAGAGTGGGTTGGGGAGCAGAGGGCGTGGGGTCCTGCTGTGGAGTTCTCTCCAGGGTGTTTATGGGGAATGCGGGTAGGCCCACTGGTATAGACGCGGGTTCCCCCAGTGGCCGGCAAAGCTCTCCCGGCCGGATCTTCGCTGTCCGCGGCGACCCTCTCTGCATGGTCCCTGGTCGCTACCGATGTACAGGAGTTGCCCGAGTGCCTGCCGTTCTGCGTCTCCGTCCTGACTGCAGGAAGCCCCGGGAATCCTGAGTGTGTGTTTCACTCCGGGGTGTTCCAGGGTAAGCAGTGAGCGTCACGTTTCTTCATTTTTCTGTAGCTGATAACTAGCTCTGTGTCCTCACCCCCTGGCCGGCGGGAAATCCAGTTCCAGGCGCCCATCTGGAATTGGGGCGCCCATCTTCAGGGGACTTCTGGGGACGGCCAGCGCCTGGGCAGCTGGCACCGCCATTGCACCCTCTCCCTCCTGCCACAGCTGGAGAGCAGGGGACCCTGAGTGAGAGCATGGGCTTGGTCTCTCCTCCCTCAACACACATAGCACACAAAACACACAACTCACAATAAATGCATATACATACAAAGCACACGCATACAGACCACACACAACACACACAGCACCCATAAACACAACACACAACCACACACATACAACGCACAGCACAATACACACATACAACACACAGCTACATACACAGAATACACACACAGTAAATACAAGCATATACAACACACAACTAGACACACAACCCACAGTACAACCCACATACACACAACACATACAATACACAACAGAGACACATACACAACATATAGCACATGCATACACACAACACATCACACACACACACACACTTCCTACTTGTGAATTGCAAAAAATTGGAGACCAGCCCTCCCTATGTTAGGGGAGTTCTTAAAAAGTTCTCCCCCCCAGGCTGACCCACGCCCCCTGTCTCCTAGTGCCAAAGTCAATTCCTCTCCTCCACCTGCCCTCTCCGCCCACCTGGAGGGCCCACAGGAGGCACCCGTTGTGTGTGTGTGTGGGGGGGGCAGTGTCCACCAGGAAGGAGGTGAGATTGCCATGTGCACTCCTTGTTAACCAAACATTTTGTGTTTGTTCACCAAATGCTTGCCAAATGCTTCCAGAATGCTCATTAGATGAAACGTATTCATGGTAGCATTGTTCACAGAGATTCTGCAGATCAGCAAGAGGAAAGCCGCCCTCCGCTCCCAGGGGCCTCCCAGGGCCACCCCAGCACAGGGGTTGTGAAGCTGAATTTCCTTCTGGGGACAGGGCCACTGCCCGGGACAGCCCTGCAAGGAGCCCCACTTCCCCTTCACAGCTTGAAAGAGCAACAATATTTTTCACCAAAAATACAACGATATTTTAAAATAAAATTTAAAAATTCCCTTCCTTACTGATCTCTACAATAAATTGTTTGCTTATAAAAAAGAGAGAGAGAGAGAGAGAAGAGGCCGGCGCTGTGGTGCAGTGGGTTAACACCCTGGCCTGAAGCGCCAGCATCCCATATGGGTGCCGGTTCAAGACCCGGCTGCTCCACTCCCTATCCAGCTCTCTGCTGTGGCCTGGGAAAGCAGAAGAAGATGGCCCAAGTCCTTGGGCCCCTGCACACACATGGGAGACCCAGAAGAAGCTCCTGGCTCCTGGCTTCGGATCGGCTCTGCTCCGGCCGTTGTGGCCATTTGGAGAGTGAACCAGCGGATGGAAGACCTCTCTCTCTGCTTCTCCTTCTCTATCTCTGTGTAATTCTTACTTTCAAATAAATAAATAAATAAATCTTTTTTTTTAAGAGCAAGGGAGAGGAAACCTGGTGAATTTCAACAAAAACACAGCCAGTGGTGTAAACATGGTGGATGGTCCTGCCAGTGCCCATCTCCCTGGCTTAACTCTCCCAGGTGCCAGGTGTCTCGCGTCTTCCTGTGATGGGCTCCTGGCTGCAGACAGGGGCCACACAAGGCTTTGTGATGGTACCTCCTGTGCCCGGCTCCATGCCTGTCCCCACCTCACGCCAGAAGGCTGGCCGCTGCCTGCTTCCTGCCCCCGGGCAGCTGTTGGAGGTCTCTGTGCCTTTGCTCCTTCTGTTCCCTGTGGCTGGGCCGCCCTTCCCCTTCTTGGCCCGGCGCGCACTGACCTCAGGTCAGCTCCAAGGTCTCTTCTGGGGAAGTCTCCCTGGGCATGTCCAGGTGGGAGAGGGTTCTCCCAGTCGCACGAGGAAAGCAAGTCGCTGTCTGGAATCCTCAGTCCGTCCCGGGTCCCCTCAGGACCAGGCTGCGCGGGTGACAGCAGCTGCCCAGCCGTCAGCCGTGAGAGGCAGCTTCACCCTCTGTGTCTGCTCCGTGGTAGAGCAGAGGGCTGGGGGCTGCGGGGTTAACTCCGTGGCCACTTTCCCTGCATGCCTCGTGACCTCTGACCTGGCCTGTGGGTCCACCCTGCTCCAGGGGGAGACCTGAGGGTCCTGCTCCCCCATCGCCCCCTGCCCCCCTGCCCTGCATGGAACCGTCCAGCCTCTGACCTGTCCCACCCCACCCCCACACGTTTCTCTCCAGTGATGGGAGGCTGTTCCGGCTCAGGCCTGCAGCCCCCAGCTCCTCCCGGGGCTGCAGGGAGCGGGGTGCCCTGCAGAGGACAGACAGCGGAGCCTAGAGGGCAAACTGGTGGGGGAAGAAAGGGTCGGTCTGCAGAGGATCCAGGTGAGCTCCCAGGCAGCCTTGGGGCCAAGAGCTGAGCTCCTCCTGCAGGGGGAGGGAAAGAGAGAAACCCACCCTTCCCAACTTTGAGCCTGACGGCATTGTTTGATACCAAACAGGAGGACAGAGGCTCGCGCAGGCCACTCAAAGTCCAGGTTCAACCTCAGCCCCGCCCCCTGAATCCAGCCTGACCCCTGCCCCCTGGCTCCACCCCTGCAGCCCCTGGGCCCAGGCTGCTTGTGCTTCCCGTTAGCTGGCAGGCCTCTTGCCCAGCAGCCGGCACAGAGGCAGGGACTGTCCAGAGGCTGAGCGGGCATCCTGCGCCCAGGTCCTGTCCGTGCAGGCTCCCGTCTGAGCAGGAGGGGAGCTTTCGCAATGGCCGCCTTCCTTGTTTTGCTCCTCTGCGGTTTTCTGGTGGCAAGTATGGGTGACAGCAGGGCTGGGAGTGAGGACGCAGATGGGAGAGGCTGCGTGGCAGGCCGGGCTCCCCATTGCCCCTCGGTGTCCCCCAGCGCCCAGAGCTGGACACACCCCGGCCAGAGCCAGCTGTTTGCAGACCTGAGCCCAGAGGAGCTGGCAGCTGTCATGAGCTTCCTGACCCAGCAGCTGGGGCCAGGGCTGGTGGACGCGGCCCAGGCCCAGCCCTCAGACAACTGCGTCTTCTCGGTGGAGCTGCAGCTGCCCCCCAAGGCTGCGGCCCTGGCCCACCTGGACAGAGGAGGCCCCGCACCCGCCCGGGAGGCGCTGGCCATCGTCTTCTTTGGCGCACAGCCCCAGCCCAACGTGAGTGAGCTGCTGGTGGGGCCGCTGCCTCACCCTAGCTACATGCGGGACGTGACGGTGGAGCGGCACGGGGGCCCCCTGCCCTACTACCGGCGCCCCGTGCTGGCCCGAGAGTACCTGGACATAGACGACATGATCTTTGACAGAGAGCTGCCCCGCGCCGCCGGGCTCCTGCACCACTGCTGCTTCTACAAACCCGGGGCACGCAACCTGGTGACAATGAACACAGCCCCCCGGGGCCTGCAGTCCGGGGACCGGGCCACCTGGTTTGGCCTCTACTACAACATCATGGGGGCTGGGTTCTTCCTGAACCCTGTGGGGCTGGAGCTGCTGGTCGACCACAAGGCCCTGGACCCTGCCCGCTGGCACATCCGGAAGGTGTTCTATCAAGGCCGCTACTATGAGAGCCTGGCCCAGCTGGAGGAGCAGTTTGAGGCCGGCCAGGTGAACGTGGTGCTGATCCCAAACAACGGGACAGGTGGGTGGTGGTCGCTGAAGCCCCAGGTGCCCCCAGGCCCGGCACCGCCTCTGCAGTTCCACCCCCAGGGCCCTCGCTTCAGTGTCCAGGGCACCCGCGTGGCCTCCTCCTTGTGGACCTTCTCCTTTGGCCTGGGAGCTTTCAGCGGCCCGAGGGTCTTCGATGTGCGCTTCAAGGGGGAGCGGCTGGCCTATGAGATCAGCGTCCAGGAGGCCTTGACCATCTACGGGGGCAATTCTCCTGCTGCTCTCCGAAGCCGGTACACTGATGGTGGCTTTGGCTTGGGCCACTTCTCCTCGCCGCTGACTCGTGGCGTGGACTGCCCGTCCCTGGCCACCTATGTGGACTGGCACTTCCTCTTGGAGTCCCAGACCCCCAAGACGGTGCGCGATGCCTTCTGTGTGTTTGAACAGAACCAGGGCCTGCCCTTGCGGCGCCACCACTCGGACATCCACTCCCACTATTTCGGGGGCGTCGTGGAGACAGTGCTGATCGTCAGGTCTGTGTCCACCATGCTCAACTACGACTATGTGTGGGACATGATGTTCCACCCCAACGGGGCCGTGGAGGTCAAATTCCACGCCACCGGCTACATCAGCTCATCCTTTTTCTTTGGTGCTGCCCGAACGTTTGGGAACCAAGTCGGGGTGCACACGCTGGGCACGGTCCACACCCACAGCGCCCACTTCAAGGTGGATCTGGACGTAGCAGGTAAGGCATCCTGGGAGAGGGCTAGGTTGCCAGAAGAGTGGACTGAAGTCTCCTGTTTTTTGTTTTTTGGTTTTTTGTTTGTTTGTTTGTTTGTTTTTGACAGGCAGAGTGGACAGTGAGAGAGAGAGACAGAGAGAAAGGTCTTCCTTTACTGTTGGTTCACCTTCCAATGAATGCTGCAGCCGGTGTGCTGCGGCCGGCGCACCAGGCTGATCCAAAGGCAGGAACCAAGTGCTTCTCCTGGTCTCCCACACGGTGCAGGGCCCAAGCACTTGGGCCATCCTCCACTGCACTCCCGGGCCACAGCAGAGAGCTGGCCTGGAAGAGGGGCAACCGGGACAGAATCCAGCACCCTGACCGGGGCTAGAACCCGGTGTGCCGGCGCCACAGGCGGAGGATTAGCCTAGTGAGCCGCGGCGCCAGCCAGTCTCCTGGTTTTAAAAAAATTTTTAAAAATGCAAAAATGTTTGGCATACCTGTCAAAGCCATCCTCCTGGGTCTTCACTCTTAGCCGCTTGGTAAATCTATATTTAAAGCAAACAGGCTTCCATGCTCTGTAGTTGTGGGATTTATTGCACCGTGTACTGTGGACAAAGATGTTGTGCTGGTGTGCATAGTTTGATTTTTCCCATCCAAATGGGATCGTAATGTGCGTATGCTGTGCCGAGTAACAGCATCGTTCAAGCAAGCAGTGCGGGTTTGCTGAGTGCACACAGCAGGCCGAGCTCTCCACCATGCAATGCAGCCAAAGAAACAGCAGCCCTGCTCTCGGGAGGCCTCCGTGCTCACCCAGCGGCACCGAGAGCTCCAGCAACGTTGTGTGGGATAGGAGCGTTCTTAGGTGCAACCTCTGTGTCCCGCACTTTACTCAAGCGCTGAGAATAAGCTGACAGGGCCTCCTGGGTAGCATCCTGACGTGGATTAATAATGCCGTTTAAAACCTGCTCATTCAAAGTAAGTTTTGATGGACAGGAAGTTGCAGACATTGCAGCCAGAGTCCCGTATTCCGTTCCTCTGCATCCCCTGTCGTTAATATCTTACATAGCCACAGGCAACGATCAAAACCAGGGGGCTGGAGCAGGTGCTTAACTTAGTGTTAAAATGCCCACGTCTCACATAGGAGAACCTGGATTCAGTATGTGGCTTGGCTCCTGATCCAGCTTCCTGCTCACGCAGACCCTGGAAGGCAGCTGTGACGGCCCAAGTAGCCTGGGCTCTGCTGGCTGATGGAGGAATCCCGGATTGAGCACCTGGCTCCAGGTTTCAGCCCCGCCTACCTCTGGCTCCAGCCATTGCAGGCATTTAGGAAGTAAGCCTGCAGATGGGAACTGTCTCTGACTCTCAAAAAAATCACAAGGTGCAGCTGTTAGAATGCTGCCTGAGCCGGCGCCACGGCTCACTAGGCTAATCCTCCGCCTTGCGGCGCCGGCACACCGGGTTCTAGTCCTGGTCGGGGTGCTGGATTCTGTCTGGTTGCCCCTCTTCCAGGCCAGCTCTCTGCTGTGGCCCGGGAGTGCAGTGGAGGATGGCCCAAGTGCTTGGGCCCTGCACCCCATGGGAGACCAGGAGAAGTACCTGGCTCCTGCCATCGGATCAGCGTGGTGCGCCGGCCGCGGCGGCCATTGGAGGGTGAACCAACGGCAAAAGGAAGACCTTTCTCTCTGTCTCTCTCTCTCACTGTCCACTCTGCCTGTAAAAAAAAAAAAATGCTGGCTGGAACATCCTTATTCCATATCCGAGTGCCTGGGTTCAAGTCTTGGTTCTGCTTCTAACTCTAGCTACATGCTAATGCATATTTATTTATCTACTTTAATCTATTTGGGAGGGAGGAAGGGAGAGAGAGACAGAGACAGAGAGACAGAGACAGAGAAAGGAAGAAATAGATAGATCTCCATCTGCTGGTTTACTCCCCAAATGGGCACAACGGCCAAGGCTGGGTCAAGCCGAATCCTGGAGCCTGGAGCTCCACCCAGATGTCCTACATGAGCGGCAGGAGTCCAGGCATTTGCGCCATCTGCTTAACCAGCTGTGCCACAATGCCCACCCCAATAAAAGTTTTGAAAAACCACAAAAATCAAAAGAAAAACAAGAAATTAACACTATTCCAAACCTGTCAGTGACTCTCCAGACCTTATTCGGATGTCATTGGTTTGCACAGCACTCGTTTTCGGTCCCGGGGGCTCATCCAGGCGCCCACACTGCGTGCAGTTACCTGGCGGTGTCACCTGGTTCCTGACAGCTTGCTAGGCTTCCTCATCTCTCATGACCTTGGCATTGAGAAGAGAGCTGGTCAGTTATTTCGTACAGTGTCTCTCATTTTGGATTTCACTGATGTTTGGTTGTGATTAGATTGACAGTTTTTTTCTTTTGCAAGAAAACCACAGAAATGTTATATACTTCTTGGGGTGTCCATCATGTCAAGGGCATATGATGTCACTGGGTCTTACTGCCTGTGATATTGACCTTGTGCACTTGGTTAAGGTGGTATTTTCCTGATTTCTCCACTGTAAAAGTTAATATTTTGCATTTCCTGTTATATACCTTGGGGAAAAATAGATGCAATGCAAATATTCTATTTCTTATTTTCTCAAAATTTTGTCCACTATTTTTAAAAAAGCTGTATTTATTTATTTGAAAAGCAGGGTTACAGAGAGGCGGGGGGGGGTCTTCCATTCTCTGGTTCACCCCCCAGATGGCCGCAATGGTGGGAGCTGTGCTGATCCAAAACCAGGAGTCAGGAGCTTCTTCCAGGTCTCCACCTGGGTGCAGGGGCCCAAGCACTTGTGCCGTCTTCTACTGCTTTCCAAGGCCATTGCAGAGAGCTGGATTGGAAGTGGAGCAGCCGGAACTAGAACCAGCGCCCATCCTGGCACCCATATGGGATGCCGGAATTTGGGGAGACGGTTTTACCTGCTGTGCCCCAGCACCGGCCCCATTGTCCACTATTTTTAACATCTAATTTTAGTAGGCTTCATCGAACATGTTTCATTTGCTAGTTCATTACTGGTATTTTATTTTTTCTTGTTTGTTTTTTAGATGGTTTTTAAATTGACAAATACAAATTATATATATGTTATATATTATATCATATATATTATTATATATTGTATTATATGATATAAAATATATATGATAATATTATATTAATAATATATTATATACATACTATTATATTAATATTATATATTATATATTATGGTATATAAAATATATATAATAATATACATATTATATATATTATGATATACAACATGCTGTTCCGAAATATGTGTACATCATGGAATCACTAAATCAAGCTAATTAACATTCACTACCACATATACTTATCTTTTAAAAGAAATTTTTTTTAGGCCTGCACCGTGGCTCACTAGGCTATTCCTCCACCTGCGGTGCGGTATCCCGAGTTCTAGTCCCAGTTGGGGTGCCGGATTCTGTCCCTGTTATTCCTCTTCCAGTCCAGCTCTCTGCTGTGGCCCAGGAGTGCAGTGGAGGATGGCCCAAGTCCTGGGGTCCTGCACCCACATGGGAGACCAGGGGGAAGTGCCTGGCTCCTGGCTTCGGATTGGCGTTGCATACCGGCTGTAGTGGCCATTTGGGGGTGAACCAACAGAAAAGGAAGACCTTTCTCTCTGTCTCTCTCTCTCTCACTGTCTAACTCTGCCTGTCAAAAAACAAAACAAACAAAACAAAAAGACATTTTTTAATGGTGAGAACACTTAAAATCTTTCGTATCAATTTGCAAGAATGCAATGCAGGGTTTTTAAGTACTGTCACCATGTTGTACAGCAGATTTCTCTTCTGACTAAAATTCTGCATTCTTTGACCAGCATCTCCACCACCCCCACAAGCCCCACAAGCCCCTGGTAACCCCTGTTCTGCCCTACTTCTCTGAATTCAGCTTCCTTAGATCTGCACAGGAGAGAGATCATGTGGCACTTAGCACCTCTCTATGCCCGACTTCCTTCACTTAACACCCCTCAGATTCTCCTGTGTTATCACGAATGAGAAAGTTTCTTTCTTTTTTTTTTCTTTCTTTCTTTTTTTAAGATTTATTTATTTATTTGAAAGGCAGGGGCAGACACAGAGAGAGGTCTTCCATCCACTAGTTCACTCCCCAGATGGCCACAATGGCTGGAGTTACGGCAATCCAAAGCCAGGAACCAGGAGCTTCCTCTCATGGGTG